AACTTTTAGCTTTGATATCATATTAAGTAATTAATTGACTCGATGGTTAAATTCTTAAATAAAGGTTCAGTATTAATAAGTTTTATAGCATCTATTTGATAAAATACGTTTGTGCCACCTATGATTTCTCAAAATTTTACTTAAGTATATCTTTATGAAAAAATCTATACTAGAGCAAGATAACGATATCTAAAACAACTCATCCTTATGTGGTGTTGACTTGAGATGTAAATTAACAAAATGGTTATTTGATAAATAATATATCAATGCCTAATATGACGACACATCATTTACGATATAAATTCTTTTAAGATATATTTTATAATGTATAGTATTATTCTTAATTTAAATCACCGTATATATATGAAACAATGCATTTTATTCAATAATAAAAAAAAAAAAAAAATTGGAGGTAAATAATACATGAGAAGAGGATCTCATGTCTTTCATTTTACAAGAAGGAAGGTTTCTCGGCTATTATATTCCTCTTTCTCTACTGGAAATATGTCGATAAATGCCTTGGTGCTCCTACTTTTTCCACAATTACAGTCTTTACGGGCTGTTTTGTTGCAATTCACTAATTGGGATGCTTTTTTCTTTATTGGGAATTTTGTGTGGTAAAAACAGAAATAACGAGAATCCGGATTTGTTTCGTTTCTGAGCGTACCAATGATTGTATTTGTTGTATCTTCAACTTTAGAAATCTCACCTCAGATCTTCAGATCTTACGGTAGTGACTACTTGAGTTAGCTTTCCTTCCTAAATTAATCAAAATGAAATAGAATGAAATTTTTTTTTTTTTTTTTTTCTCGGCCTGGTCTTTGGGTCACATATACAATATTTGTGATGAATTAGTGAACGTTACGTAAATAGGAAAAATAAAAAAATTTCAAGCATAAACTTTTTTTTAAACTCTTTTTTTGACAAATTACATTAAAACCTCTCTATAATCATAATATGGGACTAACTAATTTTATTACTATGAGGAGATTATAACTTAATGGAGGTGTAGTTACAAAAATTATTGATTTCTTAATTTATAATTCATACGTTTTAGTAGTATAGTATTAAGATTTCAATTCATATTTTAGTAGTATTATGATTTTTCAATTGAGCGCTTTAATTGCCTACTTTTGAAACGGATAAAAAATCGTGTCTTGAAACCAGCAAAGATAACTGTCACTCTTGAAACTGTAAATGCAGTAAATGCAGTTAATGCATGGTTAATTGATGTGAAGCCACAGACCAATGGTTTTAAGCACTACAAAATTAGGACCCCCAATGTCGAAGAATTGCAAGGTATGAATGAAGTGGATGAAGAGAAATAAAAGAGTCATTGCATAATTGAGTGGTTAGATTTCGACAACTTCACTACAATAATCGAATGGATATTAATGTCTTTCTCGATCATCCAAATGAGCAACAAATCGTGCATGCTTTAACCAAAGAAGAAATCACTGCTTCAATTAGACAAGAAGAGAAGAGAAACAATCCAGAGGATGATAGTACGGAAATACAAAAAGTTTCATGTCATGAAGCTTTAAACATGCTTGAGAAGCTAAATTTTTTTTGGCTTCAACAAGGTGTCCTTGCTAGTGAGTTATTACGTATTCGCAAAGTAAAAGATGTGGTAACAACTTTAAAGTATAAATCATTGTCCAAAACAACTTTAGATAAATATTTTATTTCATCTTAAACCTTTAATACGTATTCGCAAAGTAAAAGATGTGGTAACAACTTTAAAGCATAAATCATTGTCCAAAACAACTTTAGATAAATATTTTATTTCATCTTAAACCTTTAATGTAACATAATATATATATATATATATTTTTTTTTGTAATATACAGATAATTATTACTATGTAGAGGCAGCTTTCCTTAAGGCGGGAATTAGAAAAATTATAACTTATTGCAATTTGAAGTTTATTCTTATTTATAACTATCCCAAATTGTGATTATAATTTTTTTACTATATAGAATTTATTCATATTTTGCCGTACTCAAAGTCCACAGTTTGCGTACACACCACCAATGTTCTGAAACTCGGATCGGACCGGGCGGTCGAACCGGTCCGATCGGGTTTTGCTTACATTTCTAGTTTGAAGAGAGTAAATAACCGGGATTTTCAGTCAAACCGTTTCAAACTGCGGTTGGACTGTCTTACTGTAGAAAACCGACTATCCAACCGGTATTAAAAAGATTTCCGGTCCACACCCAATCCGGTTTAATCACATGAAATAAAATTAAAAATTAAAAAGTAAAAACCATAGTCGCACAACACACAAAGTCAAATTGTCAAAGTGTCAAACCAAACCCCGAAAAGCCAAATTTTTTATTTTTTAATACATATTCAAATTTCAATTTGGGTTTGAGCTGTGAGCTACTGACCTACTGAGCCATCTGCCTCTTTTTTAGTTTTTCAGTTTTTCATCTTGGTTTGCTACTGCCATTCGCGATCTCCACTCTCCAGTCTAGTCCTCCTCCTCTTGTCCTCCATTCGCGATCTCAGAAGTCAAATCTCCTTCAAGCTTTCAGCTAAGCTTCAGCGATTCAGCCTCATGTTTTCACTCTTCAATCTTCAAGTCTTCGGTTTGCTCTACTCTGCTTCAGTGCTTCTTCCTTGCCGTGGCTGGTCTACTACCTGCAACGCTTCATTCTTCAACTTCCAGTCTTCAACGTGAACTCTTCAATCATCATCATCGCCATCTAAAAGCCTGCTTCTTACTTGCCATTGCTAATCTGCCGGATTAGTTACTTCAGCTTAGATTTCAGCCTTCACATCTGTCGCTATCTGCTGCCGTCTGCCACCATCTGCGAGCTACTGTTTGCCATGACGAAGTAACAATCTACAGATTCCTATCTTTCTCTGTCTAGTATGTCATATCATGATTCATAATATTGTATTGATGGCTTTTGTACAGATTTATGAACCATGTTAGTGGCTGGCTTTTGGATTTATGATGTGTAGAATCTGTACATTTAATTTTTTCTTGTTGTTTGTCTAGGTGGCTTGCTTGTTTTATAATGCTGGTGTCTAGGTGGGTTGGTTTGATGGTTTTTAAACTTTAGTTAGATGGAGAATCTGAATTTTTTTCTTTTTTTCGTTTTTGCTGATGTCAGCGGTCTGACCAACCAGTCGGACCGGTCAAACCAGGAACCGGCCATTTGGCCGGGTTGACTTTCGGTCCGGTTTTCAGAACATTGCACACCACCTTGGACAGTCAATACCTTGGACAATCAATACGATAGATAACAACTAAAGAAAACACACGCAAATAAAGAATTAAACACTTAAATCACATCTCTTGATGACTATTATCATAACTTGAATGAAGTTCAATATATGCCAATAAATTACTTCATATCTTCAAGAAAAATACCTTTCTCCCCGTCTCTTCTAAAAAATAATAATAATAATAATAATAATTCATTAAAAATTAGTGGGGACTGAAGTGGGTCATGTTTTATAGACCTTTGTCAAGACTTATCAATAATAAACTAAAAATATATCTGCCATTATTTATGGTTCTTTTTATGGCTTTCAAAAGTGATTCTTTAGTGGGTCATTTAAAATATTAGATAGAAATTAATGATAGTATTTGTTGGATTTGTTGACTACTTCAACAATAAGAGGCAATGTAGACGTATTTCGGGGTCCCACTTGCGTACACACTACCTTCAACAATAAATTACCTCCTTAAACCTAGTATATAAACATATTATTCCCTTGTATGAGTGATATGTAACAAATCATAAGAAAATACATTTATTGTAACGAGAAAGGTTCTAAGATATTTTAACAATATTGATTTTACAGGATGTAGCTCGTATTTTAGGTCAATCAGGGTAAATCGCGCGTGCACATTCTCTTTACTATTTACGTTATTTGTGTGTGATTGTTTACTTGTTTGGTTTCGATTACTTTCTAGATTGTTTCAGTAATTTTCAAATCAGCCAATCAAGTATTTAGGAATGTTCTGCGTTTTGTGCCATGCAAATTCATGGTTACATATTGTCTCCTTATTAGAAGATTCAAATTGGTTGTCTATATTATGATTCAAATTGGAAAATATATTGTCTAGCTAAGGTCTATGTAAATTTTGAACTCAGCTCATGAATCATGATACTTATAATTTAAATTGGTCCTTTCTTGCTAGTCACCTCCAGCTTTGTAAAATTTATTGGTACATCTGTGGATGTTACTCACTTCCTGCATTTTTATCTTAATTTATTCTCAAAAGCCTGTTATTGTATTATAAGTAAGCAAGAAAAAATAACATCACACAAAGCCTACCACTCCGATCAAAGAAATAACCAACTTCAAAAGAATTATATCTCTATATCTAATGATCTAAGATTAATTTTAATTTTTTTTTTTTTTTTATGACTAGAGTGTCCAAGCTAGCTTGTACATACCTCAACTAATCCTTCGAGACCTTGAAACTATCTGTTAGCTAAGAGCTCCAGTTGCCACCCGACCCACCCCTATTAAGGGTTGTGAAGACTCGAACTTGAGAGACCATGTTAAATCCTCCCTTGCACTTTTACAATTAGCCACTCATTAGTGGTTTTAATTAAATTTTATTCACCTTTTTCATCGTCTTTTTTTTAAGGTAAAGTTGTTTTAGTGGAAGACAACCCACGTGACATATGTGACTTATATTTATTATATCGAATTGTTAATTGTTCTATCAGTTTAATTTGAAGCCTAAAACCCATTTTCCTGAAATTAACAATTAAGTAATTTGTTGTGTAGAACCTTAAAGTTCCAGCCAAAGAAAAACAAAGGAAACTTAAATGTAAGCAAATTCTATTGGGTTTGTCCATTGAAAGAGAAGTTAATTAACTTACAAGTACATGATATTGATATTGGAGTTTCATTCAACACCAAACCTTATGTAGTCTCCAATAGTATTCAAACTACATGATCTTGAAACAATATTTAGGAATAATAGAGTATATAACACCACCCAGATATCACAATTTAATGAGATTTAATTACAGAGATGGATAAGAAGGTGCAATGGCAAGGCCACAAAGGCCTTCCTCAGCTTCAACATCTCTCTGAATCCTCATAAACCCATCCTCGCCCCATTCAGTACCCCAAGAATTCTTCACCAGCTGGTACTTTGTGCCATCAGATTCAGTACCATACCCAATGGCTGTTACCCCATGGTCTAAATTTGTGCCACAATTCCCTTTGAACACACCGCTTTTATAAAACCGAAAATCTCTGCCACTACCCTCGATCGCAACACAAACTGGCTGATTTGCCACAGCTTGCAACAAGGCCTCCTCGTCATAAGATCAATAAGGAAAAAATATACTAATTGTATATTGTATAAGAAAGACAGATTGATAGTTAATAACAATAGTTTAACTAAAATTTTAAAGTTTGCAGTGAGTTTAAAATTATTTGTCATTTTTTTTTCTTTTTTACCTCATTACTAATATGGAGACACTTTACAAGCTGAATAAGTAATGTAAGATAAAAGGATAGAAGAATTATATAAAGATTTCATTAACATAATGTTTTATAGTCTTCATAAACTATAAAGGTAACAATTTTTGAAAAATTGCTAAGCATGCTGGCGCAATAAGCTATGGAAGTAACAAAGTTTTAAAAACTGAATTTTTGAAACGTTGTTAGAAATTTTATGTTCTTATTTGGAATCTTCCTTGATTGTTTGTTCGAACCAATGGGATTTTACTCGATTTGATAGGGGCCAGCACAAGCACAGAATTTGAGAGACTCCCTTGTGGAAGCAGAATCTGATATTGTAGTAAAGGTAAGTTCTGTTTTATCAATTGTTAGGTCTCCTTATGATTGATCTTTACTTGACTCTGTAGTGATTGCTTTTGTGTATTGTAGATAGGGTTGAGGAAAGGCTCTTGCTCTTTCGCTGAAGCTCGTGCTACAGGATTCACTGAAAAGAGTGGAACACTAGGAGATCGTTGAAATTTATAGGTTGTCCAGTTTAGAAAACCTAAGTTCTAAAGCAACCAGAACATTCACAGCAAGCTAGAAATATAATGAAATAAGAGCATAAACAATAAAGAGCATACACATAGATTTATAGTGGTTCGGTAATCAGATTGATTACCTACATCCACTCTTCAGGGCAGTAGAAAACATGCACTATGAAGAGAAACCTTACAGAGTTTGTGAGTTAGTTTTACACCAAGAATTCAATGACAACTCCCCTCTGTAATCACCCTAGATTGCTCCCATGTGTCTCACGCCTCTCACACACAAATACAACATTAATCAGTAATTTATGCAAGAAGAAAGACTAAAAATTAGTTACAAGAAATCTCATCACCATCGTCAATCTCATCCTGCGAACACCAAAGCTCCACCTTGATGATTCCTTCAACAACTTTCTCTCTTTTGTAACCAAGAGAAAACAATCCAAAGAACAAACAAAAAGTGTCGACCTAAGGCACAAACAAAAATATCCCAAAAGAGAATTTCCAGAAATGTCCCTTTCTTTCTTCTAAATTACCTCTGACCAAAGTATAAAAACTTTGACTCCACATAAGCATAAATCGGATGACACATCAACACAAATCTCCACCTTGGCATCTGATTTCTTCATCCCCTACTACCCTGGAAATTTCCTTCATTCTTACTCAATCTGGAGCAGGCTCTTGAAGAGCCTTAGTTTATCCAAAGTAACAACTTTGGTAAACATATCTGATGGATTCTCTTTCCCAAGAATCTTCTCTACCTTAATAACCTTTTCTTCAATCATATCTCTGATGAAGTGCAGCCTTACGTCAATGTGTTTGGATCTTTCATGAAAGGTTTGGTTTTTGCATAGGAATATAGCACTTTGGCTATCACTCTTGATTAGAACCTGAGCGTGATTGAATCCAAACTCACTAAGCATTCCCTTGAGCCAAATTGCTTCCTTGGCAGCTTCGGTAATCGCCACATACTCAGCTTTTGTAGTTGATAAAGTCACAATAGCCTACAAAGTAGTTTTCCAACCAACCAGATTATTCCATAAAGAGAAAACAAAGTCTGTCATGGATTTCCTATTATCAGGATTTCCAACATAATCAACATCTACACACCCCACAATGAAATCTAGCAAGTTTTTCTCTTTACTATACACAATTCCTGTTGACATTGTTCCCCTAATATACCTTAGGATCCATTTCACTGCTTCCTAGTAAGGTTTTCAGGATTACTCATGAATCTGCTAACATAGCTTACTGCAAAGGTTAAGTCAGGCCTTGTACATACCATAAGATACATTAGAATTCCTGTTGCATTAGCATAAGGGATATTAATCATTTCCTTTCTCTCATCCTCTGAACTAGGACACTGATTCAAGCTTGATTTAATATGCTGGCCCATTGGTGTTTTGACAGGTTTACAATCAAGCAATTAAACCTTCTAATAACTTTCTCAGCATACGCCTTTTGAGATAGAATAATCCTCCCTGTTTTCCTATCTCTTTCTATGTTCATTCCTAGGATTTTCTTAGCCTGCCCCAAATCTTTCATTTCAAATTGTTTGTTCATTTCTACCTTAAATTTAGCAATTTCAATAACATCTTTACAAGCCAACAACATGTCATCAACATAAAGTGCTAAGTAAAAATAGCAATCATCATATAAACATTTGAAATAAAGGCAGCTATCAAACTTACTTCTTTTGAAACCAAAAATTATCATGAAATTGTCAAATTTTTTATACCATGGATTAGGGGACTGTTTCAGTCCATACAAGGACTTCTTTAACAGACATGCCTGATTTCTTGCACCTTTTTCAAACATTTCAAGTTGCTCCATTAGGATTTTTTCTTCTAGATCATCATTCAAGAATGTTGTTTTGACATCAGGTTGCTCTAATTCAAGTTCAAATTGAGCTACTAAAGATAGTAAGACCCTAATGGTAGTATGCCTTACCTCATGTGAAAAAATTTCAGTGTATCTACTTGTTCAACCTATGTAAAACCCTTGGCAACCAATCTAGCTTTAAATCTAGGAGCTTCTACCCTTGGAATTCCTTCCTTCCTTTTGAAAACCCATTTGCACTTGACAACTCTACTCCCTTCAGGTTTCTTAATAAGAACCCAGTCTTAATCTTCATCAAAGATTCATATTCCTCTTACATAGCTAACCTCCACTGCTTAGATTCTTTACTTTCCATAGCTTCCCTAACAGTTTTAGGTTCATCTTCAATTTCCTCAGCAATTTGAAGTGCAAAGGCAACCATATCAGTTTGTGAATACCTCCTAGGCAACCTAATTTCTCTCCTTTCCCTATTTCTAGCTAACTGGTAGTTCTGCAGTTCAGATTCTTCATCATAAACTGAATCATTTTCATTCTCCTCTGACACAGATTCTTCCTCTTGAGTTTGTAAATCTCCTTGCTAATGTTCTGGTTGCAGATTACCAGAATTGTCAAAAGGAGCTTCTCCATTCATTTCAAACCTAATTACTTCAAAATTCAACTTATCAGTTTGTTCATTCAAGCCATTCAATTCTTCTTCATTGAATCCGACATCCCTACTGATTATGCATCTTTTCCTAGTAACATCCCAACACTTATATCCTTTTACCCCATTAGGATACCTTATGAAAATACACCTAATGGCTTTAGGTTGTAACTTATCAGATTTGTCATGCACAAAGACAGTGCAACCAAAAACTCTAAAGCTACCATAATCAACTGGATTTCCTGTCCATCTCTCAATAGGTGTTTTAAACTCTATAGCTGAGGAAGGAATTCTATTAATCAAGAATACTGCTGTATGAGCAACTTCAGCCCAGAACTTAGTGGGAAGTTTGGCACAAGACAACAAGCTTCTAACCTTCTCCAATATAGTTCTATTCATCCTTTCAGCTAACCCATTTTGTTATGGGGTATATCTAACTGTCCTATGTCTTAAGATTCCACTATCCTTACACAGTTTATCAAACTCCTCATTTATGACTTCTACACAGTTATCAGTCCTCAATTTCCTAATTTTCTTTCCTGTTTGGTTCTCAATCATAATTTTCCATTCCCTGAACTTACCAAATGCTTCTCCCTTATTTTCCTAGAAATAGATCCATACTTTCCTAGAGTAATCATCTATAATGCTAATGACATACTTACAACCTCTTAGGGTTTAGGGTTTATAGTTTAGTTGGACCCCACACATTAGAATGGATATAATCTAGAATAGCCTTAGAACGGTGTTTTCCCACACTAAATCTAATTATGCTCATCTTCCCATAGATGCAATGATCACACAAATCTAGCTTCTTTATATTATCCCTTCCTAGAACCTTTTGCTTACTTAGCTCAACTAGCCCTTTTTCACTAACATGTCTTAACCTCCTATGCCATAAAGTTGTCCTATTAGACTTATGAGATAAGGATACAACTGTTGTTCCAGTGATGGTTGAACCATTTAGAACATACAACCCATTATTCTTCTCACCCTTAATTACAACTAAGGATCCTTTACTAACTTTAAAGACTCCACTTTGAGCCTTATAGCTATAGCCAATTGAGCCTAGACTTCCTAGAGAAATTAAATTTCTTTTCAACTCTGGTATGTATTTAACATCTGTGAGCCATTTTGAAATGCCATCATGCAAATTCAACCTTACAGCTCCTATTTCTAAGACTCTACAAACTACATTATTGCCCATCAAAACTTTTCCAAACTATAGTTTTCTAAAGTTTGACAAAAAAACTCCTATTTGGAGTCATGTGGAAAGTACGACCAGAATCAAGAATCCATTCAACATCAATTTCATTTTTAGAGGCTACCAACACATCAGAACTCTCATACCCATTAGAAGCTACATTACACTTCCACTAGCAACCTTTTCCCCTGATTTTTTCTTCCTATCAGGATAGTCCCTCTTAAAATGACATTCCTTATGACAGTGAAAGCATTTTCTAACAAATTTTGACTTAGCCTTTGATCTACTCCTAAACTCCCTTTCTTGTGACTTTTCTTTTCAGATCTTCCTCTCACATGTAAGCCTTTACCATCTAGTTTACCTTCTTTCCTAAACTCAACATTTTTTGTCGTAATTGCAACCACAACCTCATCTAGTTTAAGGGTTTGCCTACCATATTTTAGGGTATCACAAAGTTAGAGTACATTTTGGGCAGAGAGTTTATGAGGATAACAACTTGGTCCTCATCTTCCACTTTAACACTCAAACCTTCTAAGTCTTGCACTAATTTCATAAAATCATTCATATTTTCTCCTAATGACTTTCCCTCATCCATCTTAAAACCAAAGAATTTTTGTTTTAAAACTAATCTATTAGAGGAAGACTTAGACAGATTTAAGGAGTCTAGTTTTTCCCAAACCCCAACTGGTGTTGTCATTTTCTTTACCTCTCTCAAAACTTTGTCCCCCAAGCCTAGAATTAAGGTACTATAGGATTTATCTAGAAGATCTTTCTTCTCTTTTTTTAGTTAAAGACTTTGGTAAACTGTCTTTACCTTTTAAGGTAGCTGACAACCCATCCTTAACTAAGACAGCTCTCATTTTCATCTTCCATAATCCATAATCACTATCACCTGTGAACTTCTCTATTTTGAACTTAGACATATCTAGGTTTACTACTTCTTCAGTTACCAGGAGATGCAAAACCCCAAAAAAATTCAGGACCTAAAATAAACCCTAAATCAAGAAACAGTAACAAAACTTAGATTTAACCTATATAATCCACAGTCGAACAAACCCTCACATTCAAACCTAATCTAGCTCTGATACCAGTTGTTGAAATTTACAGGTTGTCCAGTTTAGAAAACCTAAGTTCTAAAGTAACCAAAACATTCACAACAAGCTAGAAATATAAAGAAATAAGAGCATACACATAGATTTATAGTGGTTTGGTAATCAAATTGATTACCTACATCCACTCTTCAAGGCAATAGAAAATATACACTATGAAGAGAAACCTTACAGAGTTTGAGTTAGTTTTACACCAAGAATCCAGTGACAACTCCCCTCTATAATCACCCTAGATTGCTCCCATGTGTCTCACACCTCTTACACACAAATACAACATTAATCAGTAATTTATGCAAGAAGAAAGAATAAAAATTAGTTACAAGAAACCTTATCACCATCGTCAATCTCATCATGTGAACACCAAAGCTCCACCTTGATGATTCCCTTAACAACTTTCTCTCTTTTGTAACCAAGAGAGAACAATCCAGAGAACAAACAAAAAGTGTTGACCTAAGGCACAAACAAAAATGTCCCAAAAGAGAATTTCTAGAAATGTCCCTTTCTTTCTTCTGAACTACCTCTAACCAAAGTATAAAAACTTTGACTCCACACAACACAAAGATATATGGGAAACTGTTGCAGGAAGTGATCTTGTCTTGCTATTGATTTCCGATGCTGCACAGGTTGAGTAACCCTTTAGTATTTCTTCAGCAATGAATCAATTTTGTTGAGCAATCCTATTACATTCAACTATTATTTATTGTGCCATTGTTTATTGCATGCATGATATAGCAGTACATTAAACCATTAATTATATGCTTTATTTGGTTCCAAAAAATTTGGAATTGGATTAAAAGGTTATAATTCCAATTCCAATTTCAGTTTTTGAGTTTGTTCTTAATGAAGGGAGAATTTCTTATTTGTTAAGACCTAATTCCACTCAAGTAAATTGTTGCAGCCTAACACAACCTTGATTGATTCTTCATGATTGTTTTATTATAAAGTTGATATCACTCATTTTGATCTTCTCCAGCCTACTGCACAGTTTTGCTTTTTGAATACGGTGTGTTTCAAGTTCTTAAAACTTATAAGATTAAGTACAGACTTTCTAAACCAATCTATTATACTGTTTTTACAAGTTTTTTCATTTTTGAGAATGTGACTCTTCAGACTCCAACAACAGACTTCAAGGCTGGTTTTCTTCTTTCTTATAGTTAAATACTGGATGGCTTATGCATTTCTTATTCATTATATTTAGGCAAGTTTGCTTCCAATATTTTATATATTGTTTGTTTCTCTGCTATCAGTAGTTTTTTCCTATATGCTATAGGTAGATAATTATGAGAAGATTTTCTCCCACATGAAACCAAACAGCATCCTTGGCCTTTCTCATGGATTTCTTCTTGGTCATTTGCAATCCCTCGGTCTTGATTTTCCGAAGAACATTAGTGTTATTGAGGTTTGTCCCAAGGGGATGGGACCTTCTGTTAGGAGACTGTATGTTCAGGGTAAAAAGATAAATGGAGCTGGAATAAATGCTAGTTTTGTTGTACATCAGGTCTCTCTGTCTTTTATCTATCTTGCCCTCTTTGTTTCCCTTAATACGCTTTTGTTATAACAATCAGTACCACTTTTAAATCTGTGCCCTAGTGAAGTTAACCTTTTCACCCCAACCATTTTTTCACAAATCCCCGCTGTTTCAAACTTTCAAACACACTAAAATCACACTTTTTTTCCTGCCACCAAGTGTTCGACAAAATGTCCGAACCAAACCCCTCACTCCCAAATAACACCGTGCCGCCCCCAACCCAAGCCAAAACATTACATGCTGCGTCCACCAACTCCCAGCAGCCACAAACTTTCGGGAATTCGGGGAAATCTTTATGGATTGGTGATTTGGAGCCATGGATGTATGACAAGTATTTGTTATCCGTTTTCTCAGAGGTGGCGATTCAAGGAGCCAAGGTTTTTCATCACAAAAACTCTTCCTTTGGTTTTCTTGAGTTTGAATCTAATGATATTACAGGTTCAACATTGCAATCTTTTAATGGCTTAAAAATGCCGAAGTCCACGAAGCTTTTCAAGCTTAATTGGGCGTCTTCTGGGGCCCATGAACAAAAGTCAGTCCCTAAGCCAATTGTAGAGAAGAAAAGTATGGGTAAGAGCACCTTAGGAGTGTCCTCCTCTTGGGCAGATAAGGTTAGAGTGACAGAGGTCGGGTCCCATTTCACCCTTGAAGCTATGGACCTTGATATTAAGGATGACATCTTACTTATACTGGATGATGTTATTGATGACAATGATGTTGAATGGCTTCGCTGCATTGTGGGTTATTTCCCGGGGTACTCTAAGCCTTTTCATGCTGTCCGCTCAATTGCTTTCCGTGCATGGGAAGCTGCAGGGTTGGAAGATGTTATGTCCACAGGCACTGGTTTTTACATGTTCAGATTTAAGGATGAGGATGCGGTGCATTCGATCCTTGAGAGAGGGCCGTGGATGTTTGGGGGTAAGTCTATTATTTTGCAACAATGGCATGCTCAGTTTACTTTTGATAAAAGCCGCATCTCTAAGGTTCTGGTATGGGCTCGTTTGCATGGTTTGCCCTATCCTTTGTGGTTCCACAAAGGACTCTGCATGGTTTCCTCTATGTTGGGTCGACCGTTGTCTAGTGATAAGACAACATCAGAGCAGACCCGTTTGGATTATGCTCGGGTATGTGTTGAGTTAGATGCAGCAAAGCCTCTGAGACGTCATTTTCAATTTCAGTGCTGGTTATCTGCGGAACCCATTCAGATTACAGTGGAATATGAGTGGACCCCTAAGAGGTGCCCTAAGTGCTGTGTTTTTGGTCATGTTTGTCACCCGCCAGAGGTACCTACTGCGGCTATCGCTCAGGGTAAGAATAAGATAGTTACTAGCTTCCAAAAGGCACCAGGGAAGGCAGTGCAATCTAAGAACTGCGAACCTTTGAGGCAGCCAACCACTATTGATCCCATTAGGGAGAGGGAGCGGGGGACAGAGGGGGATGTTTTAGTGCCATCTACAGTTTCAGTTCCGAGTACAGTTAGAGTTGGGGATGCTTCTTTGGCTCTAGTCCCGTATCAGCAGACTGTTCGTGCTAGCAGAGGTGAATTTTTTGGCTCTGAATCGGGGTCGGAACCTGATTCCCCTTTTCCTATTGAGGATGAGCAGGACCGTATTATGGGATTTACAAATTGCACAGAAAACACTCAGTCCTTTATGAGTTCTGGGAGTAGGCAATCTACCTCTTCCAATAGGTTTGCCTCGCTTGTTCTACATAGTGACGATCTCCAGACACCAGATGCCACCTTATCTGGATCAGTTTCCTTGCCACCCCTGGCAAAGGGGATAGGTCGGGGAAAGCGGGGGCTTCGGCTCAAGTGATTTCTTAGCTTGTTTCTATCCCAATTCCAATGATAGGGAGTTGGAATATTAGAGGCCTTAACGGCTTCTCGAAACAACACGCTGTGTGGAATTGGATTTCTGACTCTTCTTTGGGGTTGATTGGTTTGTTGGAGACTAAGGTTGAGCAATCTCATTTACAGTCAGTGGTCTCGTCTGTTTGTCCTTCGTGGCAGTTTTTATCGAATGCGACAAATTCTATTGCTTGCTGTGTTCTGGTATGTTGGGACTCTTCTCTTTACTCTGTGCATAGTCTTCATTGCTCTCTTCAGGAGATTACTTGCAGGGTTACTCATGTTTCTGAGGGGTTCTCATTTGGGATTACTTTTGTGTATGGTTCTAATGACCCTGGGAATCGCCGCAATCTATGGGATTTCCTTAGGGATCAGTCGGCAGTGTTTGATTCAGAGGGGCTCTCGTGGCTTATGTTGGGGGATTTTAATGCCATCTTGGGAGCCTCTGACAGAGTGGGTGGTGATCCTGAGTGGTATGGTTATATGGATGATTTTGGCCAATGTATCCATGATGCTGAGTTGATTGGGGTTCCTTTTACTAGGCTTCGATATACTTGGCATAACGGTCAACAGGGCGATGGGATTATTTTACGGAAGCTCGATTGGGTCTTTGCATCACTTTCTTGGTTCCTTGATCAACCAAGCACAGTTTCAGAGTTTCGACCTCGAGATGTTTCAGATCAAAGCTCTATTATAGTCCGGTTTGGTCCCCGCCGTGGCAAGGTACCATCCCCTTTTAAATTTCTAAATTTTTGGGCTGATCATGCAAATTTTAGGGATATTGTTCAGGCAGTTTGGGACGAGCCTCTTGTAGGCAATCCTATGTTCCGTCTTACGCAGAAATTGGGGCTAGTGAAACGGAAGCTAAAAGCTTTACATATTCGGGCTTCCAGTCATATCTCCAGCAGGGTACTTGAGGCTCGGGCTCGGTGGGCAGCAGCCCAGGGAAATTTGGATCGGGACCCCTTTTCTACTGAGTGTATCTCTGAGGAGAGGAACCTTGCCAACCAGTATTTCAGTCTTTGTCGAGATGAGGAGGCTTTCTTTAAGCAGCGGTCTCGTGTTCAGTGGTTGCACTTAGGGGATCAGAATACTAAGTTCTTTCATAAGTCGTTGATCCATAGGCAGGTTCGGAACCGCATCCACGGTTTGACTGATGGGCATGGTACACATATTACTGACAGTCAGGGATTAGGGCGTTTGGCGGTGGGTTTTTTTCAGGATCTTCTTACTGCCCCTAGTCGACCTCAGATTGCCGAGGCTTCCAGGTATTTTTCTGGCCGCATTTCTCCTGATATGATTTCTCCATTGACTGCTCCTATCACTGATGATGAGATTAGGATTGCTTTATTCTCTATCCCGGATGATAAATCCCCAGGCCCGGATGGATTCACATCTTTGTTTTTTAAGCGGGCATGGGATATTATTGGTACAGATTTCAGGGATGCAGTGAGACATTTTTTTGCTACTAATGAAATGCCAAGATGTGTTAATGCCACCAGGATTGCTTTGGTTCCTAAGGTGGAGAGCCCGAGTCGTATGACAGACTTTAGGCCGATATCTTGTTGTAATGTACTTTACAAGTGCATTACTAAGGTGATTGTGAATCGGTTTAAAGTTGTGCTTCCGGATATTATTGGGGTTTCCCAGTCAGCTTTTGTCCCGGGTCGAAGGATTTCTGATAATATTCTGCTGACTCAGGAGCTTTTGCGGAATTATCATCTTGGGGGTTCTTCACCTCGATGTGCCCTTAAAGTTGATATTCGGAAAGCTTTTGATACTGTGAGTTGGGAGTTCATCCTTTTGGGATTGCGTACTGTGGGGTTTCCTGAGCGTATGGTGAGGTGGATCATGACATGTATCTCTACACCGTATTTCTCTGTTGCCCTGAACGGAGAGCTTCACGGATTTTTTAGGTCCTCCCGGGGTGTGCGGCAGGGGGACCCTCTTTCTCCTTACCTTTTTGTGTTGGCTATGGAGGGGTTAGCTGGTATTTTTCGGGAAACCTCTCACAGCCCTGGTTTTCAGTATCATTGGAGATGTAGGCAGGCAGCTATTACTCATTTGTGTTTTGCAGATGATTTGATGGTGTTTTGTAGAGCAGATGCTTCCTCTGTTAGCTTGATCAAATCGGCCTTGGATTATTTTGCTAAGGTTTCTGGATTAGTGACTAATGCAGAGAAGAGCCAGTTGTTTCTTTCTGGAGTTACAGATGAGGAGTAGATTGGGTTACAGTCTATCATGGGTTTCCAGTTGGGCTAGTTACCGGTAAGATATCTAGGGGTTCCTCTAATCTCTACCCGCCTTCGACATTCTGATTGTAGGCCTCTGTTGGAGCAAATTCTCTCTCTAATTAGGCTATGGACGTCGGCATCTTTGACCTATGCAGGCCGACTATAGTTGATAAAGTTGGTACTTTTCTCCATACAGGTTTATTGGTCCTCCATGTTTCTTTTGCCGGCAGCTACAGTTAGACGGATTGAGAGTATTTTGGCCTCGTTTCTTTGGAAGGGTACTTCTTTATCCCCTTCTGGTGCTAAGGTTCCATGGTCTTTTGTTTGCTATCCATTGACGGAGGGTGGCCTGGGGATTAAGAGGATCCAAGATTGGAACAGGCGGCTATTCTTAAACACATTTGGAGACTACTTACTGATAGATCTTCTATATGGTCTTCTTGGGCCCGTTTGGTTCTCCTCTGTGGTCGGTCCTTTTGGCATATCCGAGTTACTTCTGGGGCTTCATGGGCTTGGAGGAAGATTTTACTTAGCAGGGCTTGGTGCAGGGGTCTTATTGTGACTTGTATTGGAGATAGTAGGGACACCATGTTATGGCGAGATCACTGGCTTCCGCAGGGTCCTCTGTGTGACTTGCTCCCTTTTAGAACCTTGACTTCCACTGGTTTGCCATGGGATGCTCGGGTTTTGGACATCATTCAGGATGGTCGGTGGGACTTTCCTTCGGGCCGTACAGACCTTCAGCATATCTGGGACTTTATTACAGTGCAGCCTTCAGCGAGTCGTCCTGATCATCTTGTGTGGAAGGGCCATCCATCTGGACGTTTCTCTATTGATTCAACCTGGAATGTGTTGCGAGACAAGTGGGATGTGAACTCGATTCATCATCTCTTGTGGTTTCCCGGGTATATTCCACGTCACTCTTTCATTCTCTGGCTCGCTTCTCTTGGTCGGCTTCACACCATGGACCGGCCCAGTTCTCATGGTGTCATTACATCCTCCTAGTGTGTTTTGTGCAGATCAGCTACAGAGACCCATGACCATTTGTTTTTCAGCTTTGACTTTTCCAGTTTTGTTTGGCGGGAAGTCAGTACCAGGACGCTCTCTACATGGCCTACTCTCCCCTGGCTCCCTCTGCTTCAGTGGGCGGGCTTGCATCTTCGACGAAAAGGTGACTTCAGCCACCTTCTTTTCCGGTTGGTCATTTCAGCCACAATTTATTTCCTATGGTTTGAACGGAATAATCGCGTGTTTCGTCAGCATTGCAGCTCTCGCCGAGATATTGTCTTAGCTATTTGTGATCCAATTCGGGCCAAGATTTTGGGTCTAGCACCTAAGTACGAGATCTCGACTCAGCTCCGTGTGATATGGCATCTTCCTGATTAGCTTTATAAGGAGCCTGCGTGCTCTTTTGTGCCGGTTTGTGGCTTTGTGTTTGTGGTAAGCCTGCGTGCTCTTTTATGCCAGTTTGTGGCTTTGTTTTTTATGGCATCTTCTTGCTTTGTGGGGAGCCTGCGTGCTCTCTTTATGCTATTTGTGACTTTGTGGGTTTTCCCACGGGCTTTTGACTGAGAGTTATCAGTCATCCTCTTGGGGTATGCCCCTCGTATTTGTACATTTTTTGGTCTTTTATACATACTTACCTTATCCAAAAAAAAAAAAGTTAATGAATGTTTATTCTCTTGTTTTTCAAGCAGGATGTTGATGGTAGGGCTACAGATGTTGCCTTGGGGTGGTCTGTTGCCCTTGGATCTCCATTTACCTTTGCCACCACATTGGAACAGGAGTACAAGAGTGACATATTTGGGCAGCAGGGTAAGCTTGGTAGTTTATGTGATTATTTCAACTTTTTTCTCTCATTTACAATATTCACAGTATTTCTTTATGCATTTATTTTGTCATGTAGGCATATTATTAGGTGCGGTTCACGGAGTTGTGGAGTGCTTGTTTAGAAGGTACACCGAGCATGGAATGAGTGAGGATGTGGCATACAAGAATATGGTTGAGTGCATAACAGGAATTGTATAAAAGACGATCTCAACAAAGGTAGCTTTTGTCTTTCAATTCTCTTTTTTTTTTGAATATGTGGATTATTCCATTGGGAGAAAATGTACTTATTCTGGACTTGTCGATTTGTTTGTATGTATTTGTTTTGATAAGGTATGCTGGCTGTGTATAACTCATTGTCGGAGGATGGAAAAAGGGAATTTGAGGCTGCATACAGTGCCTCATATTATCCTTGTATGGACATTTTGTATGAGTGTTACGAAGATTTAGCCAGTGGGAGTGAAATTCGCAGTGTTGTTTTGGCTGGACGTCGATTTTATGTACTTTGATTTTATTTGTATAGACCTTTTGCATTTTTTATTCATTACTTAAAGCTTAGTAAATCAGTTGTTGCTGGGTGGTTGATTTTACTTGTCAACAGGAAAAGGAGGGTCTACCAACTTTCCCAATGGGTAACATTGATCAAACTCGGATGTGGAAAGTTGGTGAACGTGTTCGAGCAACACGACCACATGGTGACTTGGGTCCATTATTCCTTTCACTGGCGGGGTTTTTGTGGCACTTATGATGGCTCAAGTAATAACTTCATTGTCACTTTTGGATCAATCTTCTACATTCTTATCCAATGTTAGTGGTTGCAACAAAATGGATATTATGCTTTGGATTCTGTGCTTAACTACCTACCATTTGTGTATGCAAAATTCCAAATTGAGGTATTGAGGAAGAAGGGGCACTCATACTCAGAAATAATTAATGAGAGTTTGATAGAAGCAGTGGACTCTTTGAACCCTTTCATGCATGCTTGAGGAGTCTCATTCATGGTTGATAACTGTTCCACAACTGCAAGGTTGGGATCCACGAAATGGGCCCCAAGATTTGATTATGTCCTTACCCAACAAGCTTTGGTAGCAGTTGATGCAGGGACTCCGGTCAACCAGGACCTCCTTAGCAACTTCCTGTCTAATCCCGTTCATGGAGCCATTGAAGTTTGTGCTCAGTTGAGACCAACTGTTGACATCTCCGTGCCCAAAGATGCAGATTTTGTTCGCCCTTAGTTGCGCCAATCTAGCAGTTAGATTCAGATGGATTATCTTTGCAAGAATGCGTCTTATGAGGTCTAGGAGTGTGTAATGCCCCACTTGAGGTATGTAGTTAAATTTTGTTGTATTGCTTGAATGTTTATTGATTTGTTCTCATTTGAGCTTGCATGTCGTTATTTTCAGTTGGTTGGCCCTTAGTTGGTTTGGTTGAGTGTTTTTCCTGATTTTGGTTGTGTTTTGGCAATTTCGGTCTTCGTGGCAGCGACGTTAGCTTTGTAATTGCGGTGTCGATTCTGCAATTTTTCGCCTGGGCAACGGAAAGTTCTTCGCTGCGGCGACGGGTCAGTTGAAAAATTTAATAAAGTTTCTAGAGGATTTTTTTCCATAGGGGCAAAATGACATTTCTACCCTTAGTTAGCAGGCAAAGTGGGGAGTAAAATGTAAGAGAACTTTATGGAGAATATGCTAGAGTGGGGGTGTGATTGTAATGAATCAAAGGACAAGGATGGAATTTCCAAGGAAGAGCAAGGGCAATATGGGAATGAATGAAGATATTTTGAGTTAAAAAGGGTTTAAGCTTAGTGAACCCTTCATTCTTCATTTTCCACCGCCTCTTCCATTCTCCATTTCCTCTCAACTTCCCCTTCAACCTTTCAAGAAATTTTAGAGGGCTTTTTGAGTAGTTTGGGGAAGAAAATCAATCTAAGGCATCATAAGGTAAGGATCCTTGCTTTCGATGTGAAGTTTTGCTTATTTATGTATATTGAAGTCTTATGGTGTTATTGTTTAAAGGGTAAAGAAGAGACAAGCATTGTAAAGGAAAGAAAAGTGCTAGTGAGATCTCTCCATTACAAGGTAAGTAAATCCCAACCCAAGTTGAGATTTGAGAACTTTCTTGAGTAGAGATTGAATAGAAATTATGTTATATGTTATGTTATTGAGATTTGAGATGGAGATGACTATTTGCTTTGTAGTTGTTAAATACACTTCAATTATGAGAAGTGAGATGTGTGTTGAGGATGTAGTTTGAGATGAAATTGGAGGAGATTGAGAAATCTTTTTGGAAGTGTTATTTTATGACAGGAATTATAGCTTTGTGAGGGAGTTTCCTCCCATTTTGGATGGGTCAAGAGAGGAGTAGAACTATAGATAAAGTAGAGTTTATGTATGCACATTAGTTGTTTGATGAAATGCCTAAGAGAATCATGAACATGGGTAGTGAACCTTAATTCTTGCAATATTTCATGTTGGCATTTCATGAGTGCATTAGTGGAGATGAACCATCCATATGCATTAATTGTGCATTAAGAAGTGGCTTGAGAAAGAGTAGAGAACTTTGTGAATGAACTAGTCTAAAAGTAGAGAGAACGAGAAAAACACTAAGCGGGTTTGTGCTTTGTGATCTCCACCCGATAATTACTAAAAGCGGGTTGGTGCTTTGTGATCTCCACCCGATAGTTACTAAAAGTGGGTTGGTGCTTTGTGATCTCCACCCGGTAGTTACTAAGAGTGGGTTGGTTCTTTGTGAACTCCACCCGACAGTCACGAAGAGTGGGTTGGTGCTGTGTGAACTTCACCCGGCCGTGCCTCTGGTAAGATGAGACTGTGACATATAGCAAAAGTTAAGTAAAGAGAGTTGTGTGAAAGAGAAATAGAAAAGTGTAAGGAAAGAATTAAGAGAAAGAGTTACGAGGACAGTCGAGTAGATGATTTACTTACTGAGCATTATTTTGTGTTCACCCCATTGTTTTTCTTTGTGGTTGCAGGATCTAGGTGAGAACACAGTCGGATGGGCGTCGGCAAGCGAGGAGCAATAGCCACACTGTCCACTGTTTAATGGCATTTTGTAAATGATATTCTATTTTGTATAAAGAATGTTTATATGTAATAAAAGAAAATTTTGGGCCCATTTATTTTTACTAATATAAATGTATTTTATTTGATATATTTCTATGAGTATCCTAGTAGAAAGCAGTTATTACAAAGTGTGGAATTTTCTTTTAGGTAGAGTCCTATGTCTTGTAATGTTTTCCGTATTTGTTATGTTTTCCAGCAAGCGTTAAGATCTCCTTTAATTTGATATTTTGTACTCTCCTTTGTCAGATTATTTAAGTAGATTAGGGTGAATAAATATTATCTAGATTTAGGCTGCAAATTAACAATCATTGTATTACTCAATGTTTCAATAACCAAGCCGAGGTGAAACCCAGCAAAGTTGCTGGGTCTCGGGTAGACTGGTTTGACTGGCCGATCAAACTGGGTGACAACTTTTAAAATTTAGCAAATACATCCTTGACAATTAGAGTTTCTGTACAAATTTTAAATTTAGCAAACACACCCCAAATATAAATCGGCCAACGACTGGTTGGCGACTGTGACATCTTAAATGCAATCCCAATCATCCTTTGAGCCCATTCCCTAGAAAATCTACCCAAGATTTGGCAGAAATTGGTTCGATTTTGGCCAGATCTCACTGATGCCGGTGTCGACATTCCATGTTAGATCTCACCGATGT